GAGATTTTAAGTAAAGGTCCAGCCTGTCCTTTCAGTGAATGTAAATTGACGTGCGATATTTAAAGATTGATCCATTATTTCCTATTAGGTACTGAGTGAGCCACCTGTTACTTCTTTCCAGAATATTCTACCTAAATTGTGTTTATCAATCTTGTTAAAAAAAAGACTGCAATTAATATGGAAAGCAGGTTTAAAAGTGGTCATGAGGAAATCCCCACATTGAGAGTTCCCTTAGCAATCCGCAGCTGGCTAAGTTTCACTTTAAAAAAATGTAACAATAGCTCAAATTTCAGGGGGTGAGTATTGCCTGGTTTTGAACTGGATCAACTCCCTGTAGAATGGAGCGGTGAAATCATTACCACAAGTCCATTTCCCCACTCCTGTATTTTCAAAATGGCCAAGTACAATTGTTCACACAAAAGCAAGTAGCAGCATATCATTTTCACATTTGTATGGGTAAGATTGTTTTGCATCTACATTTTTTTTAAAATTAAGGACTTATATTTATATTGTGGCTTTAGTGTAGTAAGGCATTGAAGTTTTCATAGGAGTAGTGATCAGACAAAATTTGACACAGTTTCAAGAATCATAGAATGACATGCATAGAATGAGGCCATTTGTTCCATTGTGTAATGCTGGCTCCTTAGCATAACTATCTAATTTGTCCTGTACCCCAGATTCTTCACTGTAGCCCCACAACTGTTTCCAGCTAAAGTATTGATCCAATTCCTTCAGTAACTGTTGCTATTGATGTATCTTGTATCACACTTTCAGACATTCCATTGCATAATAACCTGCTGCATAAAGAGGTATTATGGTCAAAAGCTTTTGCAAACATATAAGTGTGATGAAACATCTTTAAGGAGGAGAAAGGGATAAAAAAGCAGCTATGTTTATAGAGCTCATTCCTGAACCTAGATACATTAAGGCACAACCAACAACAGTGAGAAAGTTAGAGATGCTCAGAGACCAGAGTTCAGTGATCTCCAAGAACAGTGGATTTGGAGAAAGTTGGAGACACGAGAGTGAACATTGTTGGTGTGCCAGGTTATGATTACAGCAGAGTTATTGAGTTCAAGTTTAGGTATAATGTAGGGTAGACAGCATTGGAATATTGGAGTCCAGATATAACAAACTGAGGCTGAGGCTTTCAGCAGCTAATGAACTGAAACAGGACTGAGACATCACAAAGGTAGAAGTGAGCGGTCATGATGATGAAGAGACAGGGGGGTTAGCATTAGCTCAGAATCAAGCAGAACACCAAGTTTGTGAATGATCTGCTTGAGGCTCAGGCAATGCCCAGGCAAGAGGGATGGATTTGGTGATAAGGGAACGGAGTTTAACTCAACTTTAATAAAGATACATCCAATAACAATGCAGCACAGACTGAGAGTACATGGGCAAATACATCTGATGCCTGTCTGGTCAGCAGCAGGCATTAGATTGCAACTCTAGAGCTGATAACTCTGGATTCACTTTGTCTTCACTTCAATATTCACTCACTCTATGTTGGCCTCCACCGTTCTTCAGCCTTCACTCAAAAGATCTCAGTAATAATGGACAGCTCTGCGATAAAACATTAAGATCAAATAATGCTGTTCCTCATGAAGGTAGTTGTCTCTACCTTGGGCCCCATGTAGTTCAGAAGGGGTGAGCAATTATAAAAATTTGAATAAAGATTTGAATATAAAGATTTGAAAAGAAAATCTACAGGTCTCTTGCCCTCATTCCATGGTTGGTATGGAATCTCCAGGAATTTAATTCAATCTACTGGACATTGCTGCGAACAACACCCAAGGAAAACATGACTGATGAATTTTTTAAAAAAAATATTACTTTTCTTTTTCCTTGAATATTAGTTGCAAAGATATTGTTGGACCGAAGGGTCTGTTTCTGTGCTATTTAGCTCTATGACCCTAGCTGGAAAGAGAACTGTTTGGTTGATTGAGGCAATTGGAAACAAGCTAATGATGAAAATGGGAGAAATATTCCAGTCAGAGATAATTGCGCTGAGCCCTGTTCTGCTCCAGGTATCAATTACACACAATCTGAGGAACTGCAAATGCTTGGAGCTTCTCAGCGCTGACAAATGTCAGTTCAGTCAGGCACTTCCCACAGACATCTGGATTTCATTAGATGGTCAGTAAAGTGCAATGATAAGAAACGAAGATGGCTGATTGGATCCTGCACAGGGGAGAGGCAGAGTGCAAAAGGAAGAATAAAAACTGATGGAACTATGTTCCAGGCAACACTGGAAGAAAAAGAATTTTCAAGAATTCTACACAGACCTAAAAGCTAGAAAAGTATGCTCCAGCGTAGTCAATGTTTGGAAGAGATAAGATGAGCTAATGGTAAAGAATAGCAGCATTGCCAGGATATATAGCAATGGCCTAGTGGTATTATCGCTGGACTGTTAATTCGGAGACCAAGATACCGTTTTGGGTTTGAATCCCACCACGGCATGGAATTTGAATTCAATAAATACCTGGAATTAAGAATCTAGTGATAACCATGAATCTGTTGCCGATTGTCAGAAAAAACCCACCTGCTTCACTAATGGCCCTTTCAGGGAAGGAAAGTGCCAATCCTTACCTGGTCTGGCGGACATGTGACTCCAGACCAACAGCAATGTGGTTGCCTCTGAACAAATGAACATGGAACTGTAAGCCAGAGTGAGAGACAAAAGATTGAGCAAGAAATAGAGAGAGAGAGAGAACGCAAAAGAGAATGAGAGCAAGAGAGTGGATGAATGCAGGAATGTGCACGAGATCAACAGCAAATGAGAAAGAAGGAGAGAGTGAAAGAAAGAGCAAAAATGTTCTGGGACATCCACATTATAAATGGTACTATATGAATTCTAGTTCTTGCTCGAACCTAACAGGAAAGGCTACTGGCTCAGGTGGATGCTCTCCATGAGAACTCCACAAATGATGATGGACCTGGCCTGTAATCCCAGCTCTTCCTTCGTGCAATCTTTCTCCATGTGCAACATTAAGCTGAGCATGGCAG